ATTTCTGAAGATCATGTGACACTGAAGACTGGAGTAATGATGCTGAAAATACAGCTGTGCATCACAGAAATAAATGACAGTTTAATATATATTCACATAGAAAACAGCTGTTTGAAATTGTAATAATATTTCACAATTTTACTGTATTTTTTTTAGATCAAATAAATGCAGCTTTGGTGAGTTACAAGAGACTTCTTTCAAAAACATCTGAAATGGAATTATTCCAAACTTTTGACAGGTAGAGAGTATATATGTATGTGGATCACCGATGAGGTACATGCCGATCCAGTCGCCGGTGTCCACCTCCTCTCTGATGTCCCAGCAGATGACGAGCTGGTCTGATTGTCCGATGCAGTAGAGCGAGGTGCTGGCGCTCAGGGTGGAGCGGCTCTGTAAGGACACCAGGTCCGTGTCGCTGGTGGATCGAGCCGAGCTGAAGCGTGTCTCGCTCTTACACCGCCGGCGAGACGGAGAGGCCATGGCTGCCAGGCCCAGAAACCTGCTCTGGTACAGGTTCTGCAGAGAAAGTCATGCCACCTTCACACTTGTGTTATTTTGAACTTGGTGGCTTCATTGTTTATCACAGTTTATCATGGGAGCAGTTGTATGGAAGCATATAGGTAGCGAAATTCAATTTAAAATGCAATATGCAAAATGGCAATGCAATATTCAAAATGGCAACGCAATATTCAAAATGGCATTGTATTTCTGTATTTAAATGTACATTTTCCATTACCCATACGTGCAAAGTTTGAATCCACTTCATCTGCCAGTGAATTCAACGATCTTATCAGATCTCCAGCCGCCATGTTTCAAACGATCCAAATTGCATTTTAAATTGAATTTCGCTACCTATATGCTTCCATACAGTTGAACTGATCATGTTAAATACTTATCTTAAAGTGACATTACAATTCATTATTGCAGAAAAAACACATGGAAAACTGACCAAAGAAAGTTTTTTCTAAAACTCTTACATTTTCTACACTGAAAAAAAAAAAAAAAAAAAAAAAGGTCAGTTGCTTCTTTACATTTTTAAGGTTGTACAAGTCGTTTCAAATTAAATTAGATTAAACCGACTTAAAAAGTTGAATTCCATAGGACTTAAAAGAAATTGCTCAACTTATTTGGATGAGTTAAAATAATGTAAAAACATACATGTTTTTAACAGTGTGTAACTTTAACTCCAAATTTTTATAGCTTAATTTTTATAGTAAAACAAAGTACACACACACACACACACACAAACACACACACACACATATATATATATATTAGTGCTGTTAAACGATTAATCGCATCCAAAATACAAGTTTTTGTTTACATATTATTTGTATGTGAACTGTGTATATTTATTATGTATATATAAATACACACACAT